GGATACAAACCGTGGAATTAATGAACCGCGTTGTCATGAGAGGACAAACCGAGAGGGAGGGAAGGGCTCGCCCGGTAAACAGGTTCACCTGTGACTCCGCCCCCTTCACACCGTGGTCCAATCACACTGCTACATTTCAATCTCAGTCTATGTGATGAACTCCGCTGTTCTTTGGTCAAATTTTCAAATGTTTTTATTTATTTGACCGTAAGATTGATGGTAAAAAAAAGAAGTCTGACTCTCAGACTCAGATGGACCCAGAACCAGCTGTGCAGGGAGAAAGCAGAGTAGAAGAAGAGTGGGCGTTCATGTAACCCAGCCAGCCAATCAGGGCGGTGGGCGGGACCACTGATGCGATCAGCCTCTGCTCATTTATTTCTTCACACTTGGAGGAAGTGAACAGAATTAGGTGTTCATAGGTCACTGTGACCTCACGAAACTTCCTTTAGGCCGTAATTCCAGAATTCAGGGCGTAATTCTGAGAATAATTATCCAGGCGAGGAGTCGATTCTGGTTTTAATCCGTCTCTTGTCAGTCTCTTAACTTTATGAAAGAGGCACATTAAACCGCTCAAACTATTATCTAAAGCTCTCAAATGTTGCTTCCATCCGTTGCCATTTATCTCTAAATGATTATTATTAAGCGCGACGCTTCATGCAGCCTCTAGATCTCCTTTTCAAAGGCGCCGCGGCACGTATGCTGCTGAAAGCATCTTTTTCAGGAGGTTGAGTCACATGTTCTCTCTGCTCCCCGCAGGGGTCCATGGAGGAGCCGGAGGAGCAGTTCCTCCAGTTCGCCCGAAACGGGGACCTGCCGGGGCTTCAGAGGCTGCTCCTGTCCACCATGAGGGAGGAGACGCACATCAACATCAACTGCAGAGGTACAGCAGCGACGGTGTGTGTGTGTGTGTGTGTGTGTGTGTGTGTGTGTGTGTGTGTGCGCGTGTAACACACACTGTGTTGTCACTCAGGGAAGAGGAAGTCTAATCTGGGATGGACGCCTCTTCACTTGGCCTCGTACTTTGGACACAAAGACGTGGTGGAGGAGTTACTTAAGGTTGCTTTTCTTTACACAATAAGTATTAAAGTTATTTCTAATAACTGACACTAACGTTTGACCCCCCCTGCAGGTTGGTGCAGACGTTAACCTGCCCAACAACGTCGGAGACACGGCGCTGCACAAAGCCGCCTTCACTGGGAGAAAGGTACTTTTACATCTGACAGTGTGCATTCATTCATCCAGTCAATCGATGAACCAATGAGTGACGTATTGATCAGGAGGTTGTCATGCTGCTGCTGCACTACGGCGCATGCGCCGCTGTCATCAACGGGACGGCACAGATTCCCAAAGATGTCACTCAAAGTGCAGAGATCAGAGGCATGTTGGAAGGTGAGAGATCAGTGATTTAATCCTCGGCGTGTATGTGGTGTAAAGATTCTAAATTCTGGTTTTCTTCCACATCACTTTGCCAAAAAACAAGCCGCCCAGAGAACGGAGGAGAGGAAACAGGAGGAGGAACTGCTGGAAGCTGCTCGAGAAGGAGACCTGTCCACTTTAACTCGGCTGGTTGGTGATGAAACTTCTGCAGTCGTGTAAAAGGAGGCCGAGGCTTCATGCGTTAAGGCTTCTGTCTCCATAGGATGTTTCCCAAAACACACCGAAGTGGATCCTGGTAGAACCGCTCGAGTAAATCTTCACTTTGTTGGTTAGCTGACTAAGACCTGCGTGTTGCTGCAGCTCAGCAGGAAGAAGAGTCCAGACATCAACTGCACGGACCTGCTGGGAAACACGCCGCTGCACTCGGCGGCCTATCGGGGCCAGAGGCCGTGCGTCCTGAAGCTGCTGAGGGGCGGAGCCAGCGCCAACGTGGAGAACAACAAAGGTGGGGTCTGTCGGCTCGGGTGGAGGTCCTCACTCGCTCCATGTGTTTGGAGGATGGAGGCTTTATCATCATCTTTATTCTTCCCACAGAACTCACTGATATTTAGGAAGGCCGTCAATAGATTAAAAAAATTAACTGTTTAATCGCACATTTTGAAATTCACTAATCTCGGTTAATGGCAATTAATGTTGTTGTTGTTACAATGTTGTTTTTAATGAGATTTAGTCTTTTAGAGAGAAAAACAAACAAGTAATGAGTCACTTTAGAAAACGTGTATTTTAAACAGAAAACTACACACATTCGCTCGTCTTGGAGGCAGAATTCTACCGGGTTGAACATGTCAATCTAGCTAGCGTAGCCTAGCAGCTAGCTTAGCCTAGCGGTGCTTTAAGTGGTCTGTGTGTCACGTTTCCTCTGCACAGTTCTCCGTGTGTCGCCTCTGTTTGTTTTACTGCCGATGCAAAAAGATCGTTAACATTAATCTCGGCCACATTAATCGCATAGATTACTGCGCTTGTGTTGACAGCCCAAATATTTACGTCTATCCTTCTTTAAATAACCAGGACATGTCCACACTGAACATTCTAACGTTCCTCCTCCACTCGCAGGCCAGACGGCCTTGGACCTGGCGAGCAGTGCGGCGATCAAGCTGGTCCTCGAAGGCACCGCTCACCGAGTGAGTGCTGAGTTCAGGGTCTGGCTTCGCGGCGTGAATTTAAGTTGTCATGGTGACTTCCTGGTTGTCATCTGTGGTCCTCGCAGGGTGGGACCCGGCACGTGAAGAAGCACCAGGGCCTCCTCTGGAAGGTGAGATCTTCCTCTCAGTCGTTTTCTATCAACCAGAAACGGGCCGAGCGATAACGTCGACACCCCGCTGCCCCCCGCAGAGCTCCAGGTTCTTCGGCTGGCGCTCCTACTGGGTCGTCCTCCAGGACGGGGTCATGTCCTGGTACTCCAAACAGTAGGTGGCTCGGCTCTCTCCGCCAATCACCTGAGAGGAGCGCTGCATTCATGGAAGCCCCAGAATCCTCTCCGCTCTGGTTCTGTCCCACCGTTAAAACATTTTCTCTTTGTCTGTCCCGGTCCCCGGTGTGAAGGTCGGATGCAGCGTCCAACGTGAGCAGACAGGGCTGCAAGTCTCTGACGCGCTCTCAGTGTTTGGTAAAGCCTCGCTGACGTCCCACCGCGAGCTTCATTCTTTTATTCCAGCGTCTTATTTGTGGACTTTGTCTCACGTCCTCCAGGTCCGAGACAAAGACAGCTGCTTTTTCACCCTCAAGTGCTTCGATGACAGCTTGCATCACTTCAAAGTGTCGCCTAAGAGCGACCCGGAGGCGACGGCCAAAGTAGGTTTCACCCGTCCGTCAACGTCTCAGTCGGGTCTCTTTTTCATGCATATTCACGAGACGTCTCGTCAGGCTCCGCCTCCGAAGCACCAGCCACCGCCCACAATGACACGCGCGTTGTTTTACAGCACCAATATCAATGTTTTCTTTTTAATCTTTCACATGTTTTCCTGAAATATTACAGCAATATTTTTTCAACTGTAAGCTGCTTAACTGTCACACATTCACATTCATTCATCTTTTACAAATAAAATGTGGTAATTTTTCAGATGTCTTTTCACATTTAAATTAACTTTTTTCCTAACGGTTCTCATACACATTTGTCACAATTACTTTTCAGAACTTTTGCAAATAATGTCTAATATTTTGGGGATGATTGCAGTAGTTTTAGCTGCTGGATCTCTGCCAGGCTGCCATGAATAATTAACGCTCCGGCTGAGACGTGTTCTTGGTGCAGCTGCCGGCTGCAGAATAAAATGCAAAGATCTCTGAATTCATACGAGGAGAAAATGTCCTTTCAGTATAAAGTGAACGAGTCTTTTCACCAGCTGTCTCCGTCCCCTCTTCACATGCAGCACGTCGCCTGCGTTCTTCCTCTTTAAAACTGCTCTTTGTCATGTTAATAACGAGTCGGTCTTCTGTCCCTCTATAATACTATTAATGTTAATAATATCTGTGTTCCTCACACACTCAACAGCACTGATTCACACGTTGGTTTAGCTGTGAACATCCGGCGCCGTCGTCCTTCACAACGACTACTACACAACTAATAATATATATAATATATATATATCTAATATATACATTTACATATATATATTATATTATATATATATATCTAATATATGCATTTACATATATATATATATTATATATATATTATTAGTTGTGTAGTAGTCGTTGTGAAGGACGATATATTATATTATATATATATATATATATATTAGATATATATATTTTATATATGTGTATATATATATATATATATATTATATATATATATTTTATATATGTGTATATATATATATATATTATATATATATATATATTACAGCTGCCTCAAGGAAACTAGAATGTTACGTTCCCTGAAACACTACTGAATATAAATAGTTTACTTCCAGATGATATTTCCGCATTAAGGAAGGGCTGAAGGGGGTCGAAGGTCACGACTCACGTGGTGGTCTTTGTGGCGTTGCAGGCCTGGCTGCAGGCGGTGGAGGAGCACTCCGCTTACAGCACCCACTACTGCTCCCAGGAGCAAGGCAGCGAGGAGGAGGAGCACGAGGAGGAGGCCAAGTCCCTCGGGGAGCTGACGGAGTCGCTGCAGGTGGGAGATAAACATGGCCTGAGAAGCCCCGCCCCCCCCCCCTCCTTTCGCTCATCGCTGGTGTCCTGTCATTGAGTCCAGGCGGCGGAGGCCCACCAGGAGGAGCTGGAGGAGGAGGTGGAAGCGCTGGTCTCCATGCTGAGGGACGGCGGACTGGCTGAGAGTAAAACCTCATTCAGTTATTCATAAGACAAGAGAGGAAAAGATTAAAGACCTCCTCGTGATTAACGTGAGGAGCGTCGTCAGGCAGATTTAATGTGAGGAGACGAGATAATCCTTCATTGGACATCGGGGACATTTACGGGATTATCACAGAGAGAGACGAGTGTTATAAAGAAGCAAGAGTACAGAACTAAGAACAGCAGTTAACAATCCACAATAATCCCTCGTCCCCTCCTCTGTCCCTCCTTTGTCACTTTGTCCCTCGTCTGTCCCTTTTAGGTTT